TATCTTAGTTGATATATAAATATTTTTTATATATGGGTTTGTACCTTCTTGGTGCTTGTATTTAATGATACTTTATGCATTGTATTTAAAAAAAATAGTAATCCTTTATAAACTTTCATTGTTACAGCTATTTATAATTTTTTTTATTTTTCTTTTACAAAATGGACATTTTTGTTGGACTCAAGGGATGTTTGCTAGAGTTTGTCATTTGTGAACCTTATGACTAGCGGCAGAATGACTGCCTTCTTTTCTTTTGGCTCATTTTGGCTCAAAACTGGTGCACACAACCTTTTACAGTATTTTTGAGCCTTACTTTGTTTAGCTTACTTAGTCTTCCATGAAATCGGTGGCCTTGTTTCAGAAACAGCAATTCTTCTGCTGCTTCCATATGGACATCCTTTGTTCGACCATACACTACGAATACTGATAATATGTCCAGCAAACAATGTTGGAATGCTACCATCTTGGTATTCACCTGCAATTTTCCCAGTCTAATAATTTTGACGTTACCATGTTGGACTGCATTAAGTTATTGATAGTTACCTACATCCCATCTACATTTATTAGCTGTTTCCAGGAAATTTAATATTCATGTTTAAAATATGTAGGCATGTTGTTAGTGGCATGCACAGACAACATGAATCTTCCTTGTCACTACAGTTAGCCTTCCTTATTTTATAACATTCCTGTTGCAATGACTGTTGATTCAGTTAAGACATACATCAAATTGCTCCAGTTTCTGGTTCGATATTGTTTGGTACATGTTTTCCAGCCATAGTCACTGTTCATTAGGAGAGATCATCATTGTTCTCCTACAGGTTATAAGTTTGTGGAACAACAGAAGCAAATTTGAGATTGTTGCTTCTTGCATATTTTTAATATTGTTTTTAAAGAATGCAATATACATTGAAACCGCATAGATGTGCCTACTTTCAATCTTCCCATCAAGCACAGTGGCAGCAAAATCATATTTTAAGGTTAAGACAAAGAAATTTAAGGATCACATGTGAAAATTACCTTTATTTCAGATGTTTGGTTACCGAGCTGCTGGTTTTCTTCTTTTGTTCTATTGTACCGCTCAATTACAGTTTTCATGCTGGTAAGAGAAATTCAAATTATATCAGGAAAACAATGTCACTAACAGCAAAGACAGAAGATGCAACGTATGATATGTTCTTATGACCTTTTGATGTTCGTTATCTTCTCTGTTCTCCTTTCTAGATATAAGTTAAGGTATCCCATTAAGTAATAGTTACAAATTTCCAGGAGCATGGAAATATAAATCTGTCAGTGCCTATGGAGCTCAAACCTAGAAGTAAGTTTTCTTCTCCTTGGCTTTTTATGGACAGTGTTGAAGTTCAGTAGGTTTGGGTAGCATCTTGTTCTTCTATTCTGCTAACAATAAAATATTATCCATGCAAATTGAAATATATAATAAAGAGCAGTCGTGTTTTCATTGTGACAGTTTCCTGTCAGAGCCACCATAAGGGGACACCATGGTGAATCTTTTTTCTATCTTTGTTACTAGCTTGATTTTGTGCAGCTGAAATTTGAGAGTTCATGAGGAATATTAATCACAAATCACTTACAGCTAAGCTCTCTTGGTTTTAACTTCTAATGATGCGATCTAATCACAACAAGTCTTAATCTGGAGGTTCCAGTTAGAGTTAGTGATGATAGTTTAAATAATGCTTTTAGTATATTCTAATAGAAGTTTCCTGTCAGAAGTCATATTTTATCTAGATCAGGTCATTAACCTTTTGTAGATTCTTCTTTTCTCTTCATTTTGGGAGCCAAATGGGAAAGAGAATATTACATATTGATGGACAACAATATCCATCAGTAGCTCAGTTGTTAGATAGACGGGGAAAATCAGAGTTCAGATTAATTGAGGTCCACCTGACAAATAAGCCAATAGAAGAGAGTTGTCCGGAGGGCATGAAGAAGATGAATCTTCAGAAAAGCACATGTATTGCAGTTGGTGTCAATATGCAACCAGAATATATAGTTGTGCCTTGAAATAAACATTCATGGCTTTGCTACAGAAACAAAATATCTCTTTGGAAGTAATTTACAGATACATGCTTACAATTATATTCTTACATGATAAGGCAAGTAACTAAACTTATCCTTGCTTATAAGTATCTCTCCCTCTCCTATCCATTTATCAATCTAAAAAAGAGTGATTGTAGTAACCTTCTCCAACATCTAGAAGATTGGTAACAAACGTTAAGTTTCTGCATCAAACTAATCACCATATAAATAGCTGCTTTAGTGGCTCAGGGATTAGCCTTATTATAGAAAACAGTGATTGAAGTAATAGTCTTCCACAATTAGCAAGAGAGCCTTATCAAAAGCCTTGGACATGGCTCTGATATGAAGAAAGAAAAGAGAGAAGAAAAAGAGAAGAATGAGAGAATGAATACTAAGAAGAAGATATGAAGGGAGAAATAGATATAAGATTTTTATTGATTTCGATTGGTGTTTACAAGTGATGGAAGATGGCCTTTTATAGGCATTAATACAGTAAACAAAAGCGTTCTTCTTGGCAAAATCATGCTTGACAGGATTGCGCGGTGATAATGAACGCGGTGTCGGCTGCGGGATGGAATGCAGATGGCAGAGGCATTGGCTGTGAGATTGAAGAGATTATTAGGGTTGACAAAATCGAACCCTAGTTTTGTTTTATTATTTTGCTCTTTGATGTGAATTTCATAACTTACCCTTCCTTTTATTACACCTTAAATGGGTTCATCACAATACCCTCCTCTTGAGCATCAACCTTGTCCGTAAGGTTGAATTGTAGAAATTTTTTCTTTGAGAGTTTTTTCCATAACAATTTTTTCCATGGCCATTATTGTTTTATTTGCACAACAGTGCCCTGGAAAATACCTATCTTCATATTTGTAATAGACTGCTGATCTTCTAGGTTTTGCTTTATTTCCTATGCTCCTAAGGGGTCTATCATTATATCAATATTTTTCTGATAATGGAGCATCATTGTTGGGAAGATAAGGATTCATGGACAACTCTATTACTGATTGTTTATGCAGTTAAAGCTGTTCGAATGTTTAATTAAGCATTTGTGGCTTGAGGAATTTTATCGTGTGTTGTAGTTGTTTTACGTACTCAAAAATGGTACTTGTTTGGTGTAATTTAACTCCTTTATGAAGTCTTTCCGTAAGGGTCCTCCGAATCGTTAATAGAGTTCTTTTACAAAATATTCCTAATCCAGGTTATCAACATCTAACATTTTATTTAGTATTTCAAGATGTAGTATTAGAGAACTTTTTGGACTTGGTAGTGGTCAAAAGATTTGTTCCTCTAAAGTCATCTCGATTCATGGACTTAACCTCAAACATTGGGAAAAAATCATAGACCCGAAAGCTGGCTAGGACCCCTAAAGCCATCTCGATTATGGCACAACATGTGGATCAAGAGATGTCTGGGGCATTGAGACAACCACGGGATGCCGAAGCAACTAATGGAATCCAGAAGGGTCATAGTCTTTTGACTACTTTCAGAACTGCCTAGGACTGCTACCATTACCCAACAGTACCCAGAATTATGGAGGATACTGATAGAACTCTTGAGCACTAATTTGCTAGAATCAGAACTCAGGATTGGTGCTTTAGCTGTTGCAGCACTGGTATAGTTACTCTAGCACTTGGTCAAATAGAAGTATAGAAAACAAGCTGTTGGTTAATTGATGTATAAAGGACCATAACTGAATAGGCCATTATGGTAGTTAGCTACTGATGTAGTACAAAGTAAGGGCTAACTTGCTTATTTAGGGATTTGGGGTTGTTTCAAGGAATTCTTACGTATGATGCCTAATAGTTGGTATAGAAACAGAACACTAACAAGAAGCCAGATATGATACCCCTAATAGTTGGTATAGGAACAGAAAATTAACAAGAAGCCACATTTATGAAACCATTGAGCATCATGCTAAGAAGAGGTTTCTTATGCATCACACTATACGCATGATTGCATACAAGACCAAGCTGTTAAGAAACCTCTCATGATAATCTTATTAACCCATGGCTTGATTTTGCAAGATAAATCACATAGGTACTTATAATAAACATAAAAATCCTAGGCTAAGTAACGTAGGGCTAAGAGAGGTTGAATACAAATTGAGAGAATTTTTATTAAGAACAAAAGTTAAAAATCTTGAGTTTTAATAATCAAAATAATATCTTAATATACGAATAATAATCATGAATAATCTACCTAATAACTAAGTTAAAGTACCTTATTTATAAGCACTAAAATGCAATAAAAATAGAAAATATAGAATACATATAAAATAGAAAAATAAATTAAATAGAAGAAAACTGAAAAATCTTCCTATTTCCTTTTATTGTAAATAAAGAAAACCTAATATAGGAAATCTTTTCGGTGCCCCCATGAGCGATATTTGGTGAACAAGCTGACAGGAATGCTCTGAAGTGAACAAAAGCAACATTGTCGTCCACCTCTTGGTGGTGGCTAGAAATCACGTTGGCCAACAATTGTCTTTTCGTTCCTGTTGCTCTTGGTGGCTGTAGTAGTATTTTTTTTCTTTTTGGCAAGAAACTTAGTTTGAGCAAATTTAAAGGTATGGCATTTCCATTTTAGGCTCTGATACTATCTGATGTAGAACAAAGAGAGGTTGAGTACAAATTTCGAGAATTTTTATTAAGAATAAAATTCAGAAATCTTAGATCTCAATAATTGAGACAATATCTCAGTATATGAATAACAATTACGAATAACCTATCTTATGACTAAGCTAGTAAATAGGAAACATCCCATTTCTTTTTACTGCTAATAAAGAAAAGCTAAAATCGGAAAGTAAGTTAAATGAAAAGAATTAGAGCTTTTTATTATAAAACTTTCCAAAATTTTAATTTGCTATAAAAAAAAATTAACATTTTTTATTCCTTTCGGTGTAAAATTTCTCAAAATAATTGTTCCCCTTATTTGGTTCGTCATTCTTCTATTATTGAAATATGTCTATTTTTGAAGTTTCCTATTCTGCATCACTATTTTTCAAATAAATTCAAATTTTTTTGCATTTATTTATGAAAATATACTTATTTTAATTAAAAAAATGATGAAAGGATCCTACTTAAAATGATAAAATTAAGTTCTTATAGAAGTCCATGTATATTGAGTTTTTGTCATAATGATAAATTTAAGAATGTGTATATTTTATTATTTATACTTGTTTTAACTAGGAGAAAATGATAAAATTAAGTTCTTATAGTAGTTCATGTATACTGAATTTTTTTGTCATCCTAATATAATTTAATTTTCTCCTAATTAAAACAAATAAAGATAATAAAATTTATGCGTTTTTCTAGTTAAACTAAGTGTAGATTTGTAAATGAGCTTCATATTATTTATAGATTTGTTCTACATATAGCACTAATGAAACTATATCTATACAAGTAGGATGGAAAGAATAACTTAAAAGAATTTGAACAGTTAATAGAATCCTAAGGTTACTAAAAATTTATTTTATTTTATTTTGTTACATTGAAGTTTAGAGCATCTAGAAATACAATTCTTAATCTACTTAGAAATTCTCGTTCATGTCCATTCTTCACCAACAATATATAAAGATGACCAAAAGTACAACTAAAGGAAGATGATAAGCAATATGGCTAGATATCTAGGTTGTGTACTTAAATGGATTTGGAGATAGTGAAAATTATGATGCACAACAACTTTATATCCAAGGATCAGCAATTTTAACAGAAGGTAGATTGTGATAAGATAATCGAAGACGAGTATTCAACCGAGAACAGTGAGAAACAAAGAAAATAAATTTGACCATGTGAGAGAGCAAAAGTCAACATTCTTCAATGGCTTAACTATTCAACTATCAATACTTAATGCGTTTGTGGTAGATTGCAATTAAAATTTTTTGATATATTTGAAATTATGGAAAATAGGATAATTTAAATTATCAATAGGATAATTTAAATTATCTTTTAGGGAGATATAAGCAGGTGATTGTGCTTGTTAAAAATCTTCAATTTAAGAAGTAAAGAAGCATTACCTATTTGATTAGTCTTCTAAAAGAACAAAAATGTCTTTGATAATTTTTTGTTCTTCCAAACTTTATCCTTTCACGAGAATACTATGCCGCCATTGTCATCACCTTATCTCATTGCCAGTGCTACTATCATTGTTGGTACCATTGCTACTACCATTAGCATCAACGCTAATACCACAATTACGACAACACTATTATCTCCAATGTTGTTGCCCTCCATCCTTATTGCCTTTATAACAACCATGCATGTCGATGTTGTCACCGCTACTACTATAATAACTACCACCACAATGCAAATTATTTTTATCGTCTTTATCGCTTTAGTAATTATTATTATCATTGTTATTATTACTATCACCATCATTTACATGATCACTACTATGCTACTATCATTGTTGTTGCTACTGCTGTTACCATTGGCACCGCTTTTTCTCTTGCTCCACCAAAATTTCACTGGCACCTTATTACCACTCACCTCTATTGTTATGATTTCTATTACTATCATTATTGTCTCAATCACTACTGACTACAACCATCACTCTATTTATTAATATTAATTAAGAAAAATATAATATGATTTTTCGTGTTATACTAATTTTTTTAGCTCAATCATCATAAACATATTGTTGAGAAAAAAAATTTTACTCATTGATAGTTAGCTTACTTACCCAATTGCCTTATTCTTACTCGTTAATATTAATGAGGTACTAATGAAGTGCCTTCTGGAATAAAAAGGAATTTATAATTATGTTAAACTTTTTATAAGTTTTCTGAGATTTTTGTCATGCATAAAATGATGATTGTTAAATAAAAAATATATTTAAAAACTTAAGGTCTCTAATTTTATTGGAAGTGTCATAACGAGAGAGACAAGACAAAAAATAATATCTTGATAAAGCTCTTCAGTTCCTTCTAAATAACAAGTAAAGTAAGAAAATGATGATAGAGATAAGGCTCGTCCTTCTTTTATTGGTCTCTTAGTTCATTTTGGATACCTTGCCACATCCAAAACTTATTATTACCTATCTGACCAACTATCATCTACCTCAAGCCAAGCAAATCAAGTGTAGCATACCAAAGACAAGAAGAGAAGTGCATCACAATTAAAAATGATTATGGGTTTCAATATTTTTTTCACAAAAATGATATTTATTAAAGACCTTTTGCCTCAAAAAATTGTGTATTTGAGGAGATGTAACATTTATTTTTAAAGAAAAATATTTTAAATAGCTAATATTGATTCCTATCTCTTTCTAGACTAACAAAACAATTGTCTCAATTATGTCTCAATAACTACAATAGCAAAACTATCTGGATTAAAAGCTTTATTCCCTTTGTGGGATCAAAAGACATCCAAAATCTCATTCTTAAGGAAAGGAATGCAAAGGAACATGTCATTTAACCCATTTTCTTCATTTTTTAAAAAAATTATTCTGTCTTTAAAAATATATAAAAAGAATAACTGAGGCACATGATTGTAAGCTTTTTGACAACTTGGTTACATTTGTATCTCCTTTTGTCTAACTAAAATGCCAAGATGACTTCCAAGATGACTTCTTCATTTGCATAGTAAACGCGACATCCAAGCATGTTGAGCTTCATTTACAACTCTGACCTACCACTCTAGACAACCTTCAAAACTATAACTTATTGTACGGTCTATGCTCTTCACCCTCTAAATGCAAACATAAAACATATATCCATAAATAGAAGGTTAAAACATAAAAGATATGTTTGCAAGAGAGCTATCTCCCTCATCATCTCATCCTTTCAGTATAGAGGTGAAAAAGGTTGTGGGATTTAATTGGTTTCTGCTCAACATATCTTGAATTATTTCTTGAACATTGGTAAAGATGAGCATTGGATGGTTTTTTTTTTTTTTTTTTTTTTAAGAAATAATCATTGGATGGTTTTAGAATTTCATTAACTCAAAGAAGTTTTTGTCCCCTCTTTTATTAGTTATTTTAAAGAAATAAGTAGGAGTATTTGAGTTCATTTGTTTCTTTTTATCGGACCCCATTGTTATTAATTTCATACCTTGAATATTTTTTAAAAGAAAGAAAAAGTCATTTTCTCTTCCATCACCATGTTTCGTGTAACTTCATAAAAATATTTTCTCATGAATTCTGCACATTGGCGGCACTTTGTTAATATCTTGCTTACAGCTAAATTCACCCTAAAAACAAATATTGACATCAAGTTACATATTCATCCCTAAATCAAGTTATGCAGTTATAGCTACCGAACTTGGGAAGTTCCAAATCCCAAGTTCAAATAATATGCGTCACCAAAATTAGTATGTATGTATATACAAAAACGAAGGATGATAACTGAGAGAAAATTAATTGTGAACATGTAAGACGGATTTCACAAGAGAAAATGGGATGTAAAGATTTAATTATTCTATTTTTTAAAAACTTTTTTAATTTATATTTACATGGACACATTATTATGAGCATACTTATTGATACTTTTGAATCTATCTAAAAACTTTTATTTAACTTTTCTTAGTAACGTGGAGTAGTCTCTCACGGGATAGAACCCCTGGTTTCTTCCTCTAAGTCGGACATGAATTCTCTCAAGATGTACGATGAGAAAAGAGATATTTCAACAATTAATTTTTTTGTATTATTATGTAATAATACGGGAAAGTATGCTTAAAAAACTTGTGGCTTTCTTAAACTGCTTGTCATAATTATTCGGCGATCCTTTGCGAATTGTATGTGTATTACTCTCCAAAACAAAGCAACTCATTACGACTATGAACTGGATGTGACAGCTAAGTATAAGTTTATTTTATCGAATTAGATATAAATAATAATGAAGTTATGTTAGTTTTAAAATTTATAAAACTTGTAAGTTCGTTAAATTTTTAAAATTATAAAAAAGAGGTTTTTTTTTATTGAATTTGACTAAAATTTGCTTCAACTGGATTTAAATTCTGTAAAACTTGTTTTCACAGAGAGAGACAGGACAAGTAATTTTTTAAATCAAAGAAAATACTATGTAGTTATTTAAGAAAAACTACATATATAATCAGAATTATGCTTGAAATCGAAAGAATTATGTAAATTATCATTTTTCTTGATATTTCAAAACTTTGCCAACACTAATTTTTCTAGCAAATTTAAAAAGGGTATTTCTCTAGATTGACATTATATGTTTGGGATTTACCCTGAAGTCTTTGCCTATAAGAATTGAAACAAAGTTGTTAAAGATAGGGAAGACAATTCTTCTGCAATGGATTAGCTTTCTCAACCTTTAATAATGATACTAAAGTTTTCTATATAGAAATGTGGACATATTGTTTTACCTAAATCTATAGAGGTCTTGTGAATGACTCATTTGTTCAATAAAATTAGGTGTATTTGAAGACCTAAAATTTATTTTTGAACTTTATAATTCAAGAAATAATTAAATGATTAAATGATAAGAGTTACAATGTACAATATAGTTCCAACTTGTTATATTTAAAATTTACATTACAATTTAATCAGGAAAATGCCAGAATTTTTTAGGCTCCCTCCTACAGAAAACGATATCAAATTGCAATGTCATCATACATGTTTCAAAGATCCTTAAAATTAAAAATCGTTTTTTAACACTAGCATGCTAATTCTTGATAATAATTTATGTTTAGAACTTAATAGAAAACTTATCAAAATCCAATGAGTTTGGACTTGGGATAATGATTCCTTAGTCATCATTTAATTTTTTATATTCCTACCTCAACTTCAACTTTTTTTTCTCTCCTGTTTCGGTTGGCACCTTCACAACCCACTTTTTCTTTTCGTGAAAGCACTTCTTACTTTCTGAGTACAACCAGGAGACCCTGTACCTATGCAGTACAGAGAACTGAACTCTCCCTTCTTTGAGAGGCAAAACAAGATTATAATGTTGGACAGAAGATTCATTAATTGTTCCTTCTTGTTGTTTCCAGAATAATTAGTTAAAAGATTAACTGTTTCTCTTTGTATCAAACGCAATTAGTCAAAGACTAATGGAGGACCCATGGGCTAATAAAATACATATAAACTAAGGTCAAGTGACGAATGTTCTACGAAGGAAGCTCCTCGGTGCCAAATCAAACACCTATAATATATGATATCTCGTAAATTTATCTTGAGAATACATTTCATTAATTAATTAGGTAGTTTCCCTCTTTTGTATATAACAACATATCTTATTCATGGGGCTTTTCTTTTTTTGCAAAAGATATATCTAAATATGGGGTTCCGAGCAGTATAATCGATAATTTTTTAAAAAAATAACAGTATAATTGATCTTAAAATTTGCTAATTCTATTTAATAATTATATGGTTGAACAGATTAGGAAAGATATCAGGATAGGAAATTCCTTTATTCACGTTTTTCACAACATTCACTTCAAAAAGTCATTTTCTAGTATGCAGAATAAGATATATATTAGTATTGGATCATACATTTATTTATTAACTTAGTTAACTTACTAAAAGTCTTAAAGGTCATACTTAATGTAAAAGTGATGTAAAGAAAGAGGAAGGGAAGTTTGCTTTGATTAAAGATTTAGAAGATGGAGAAATTGTAAGAAAAAGAAGAACAACGAACTGGGGTATTTTCAAGAAAAATATATGGGTTATTGAATTTTTAATTCCTCTTTGGTATTTGGGTGGTGCAAACTGATTATGCCCTTCTCACTCTATGAGGATGTAATTTTGTCTCTTCAAAAAGAAAATACTAGAAAGAAGATCATAACCCTTTGAAACGCTTTGTGTTTGAATTTAAAATACAATACATCTTCTAGTATCATGTTTCTAAAAAGTCTTCTACCATCATATTAGAATAGTTAATGATTTGTTACCTTCCTTTTCAAAAAAGGAATGAATAGTCGATTTCTTTTTCGAGGAAGAAGAGATTTTGAACCTAAAAGTACTAATATTGCTTTAAATTCAGGAATTCATATTGTTTTGAAAAGTTTAGCATATAAAGAGTAGAACTTGTCTATCTATCAACTGAGAAAACTTGTTTGTTCATGATTGTTATTTTTCATAATAATTGTGTTACACCTATGTATACCATAAAAAAAGACTCAGATAAATTTTGACTAATTATTACCATGCACACAGTCATCATGAGAAACTGCCTAAAGGAATCCAAATACAAAGATTAGTATTAAAGTTTTAAAACTAATTCTATTATATTTTATCATTTCAAGTTTCATACTTAAACATTAAATAGATACATGATTAAAACTTTTTCCTATTTTATTATCTCCAATTCTATAATTATTGCATCTATGCTAATAAACTTTTTCATCACCAGCAACCTGACCTTCTATAAAAACTAAAACAATCACTTGCTTCAGTGTAGAACTTAAGCAATAAATCACCTCAGACTTCGTGCACTGTTTGTTCCAGCAGTCATGATGAATAGGATACCAAAATATAACCAGGGTTGCTAAGAATAACCAAAGCCGAGTCTAGCAATGTATTTACCATATGTAAGATGTAGCTATATATATTTCTCCATTTCCTTTTACTTGTCCTTGATTATACAGCTGACATAAAGGAATTTATTAATGAGAAGATTGAGATGCTATGTAACGTACTTCTTAATTAGGATATGGAAGAAAAGGCTTAGGGAGAGAGCCGCATTAGATAGACTTACTTTCTTTTTCTTTTGAAAGTGTTGGATAGACTTAACAATATATAAAAGAACGAATTATAAAATGTTTAGCTGAAAGTATTTAAGACAATCAACATAATACTATCGAAGAGTTGATGACTAGTTGATATCAAGTCTTATCTCTCACTTCAACTACGAAACTTAGAATATTAGTATATGTATTGAATCAAATTACAAATCTATAAATATTTTAGATGTGAGTTTATTCCATGTCAATTTTTATATAATAAAATTATAGTACCATATTAATGTAACATAAGAATTATCCCTTGCCTTGGAATTATCCTTATACAAACTAATTTGTTTGACTTAAACTAATTTGTTTAAGTACAGTTTCTCAAGCACTCATATAACCATGTATTCATAGATTCACTTGGTAAATTGACAAACTAGGTCTATTACGTTCTAGTTTAGTTAAAATTTTGAACTAATAAGATGAAGCAACATTACTAATTCTTTCAATTAAAAAAAAAATCTTTGGCAACTTCACAATGTATAGCAAGTTAATACTGTATATAGATAGTTTGATATACAATTAACAATAAATATAGCTAATCTTTCAGCTATTTCATGTCAACAGAAAACAAAAATGCCGCTGCTTAGTAGTTCGGTAACTTCAAAAGCACATCATGCTAATTCTCATAAAGAAATCAACAGTAACATGCATATATCCTATTAGTTTCTTAGAATCACGAAAGGAGAAAAGAACAGTATATCAATTAATAGGCTCCAGTTTTTTAGCATTAAATTATTTTTTTCTTCCGGAAATCGAACTACTATCTCGAAATAATTAGATCGGCTTGGTTAAACCCTAACGACGACAGTGGTCCCTAATACCGTATATAAGCAAAAAACCTTAGTTGACTATGTACATAAAGAGATGAGAAGAGCTCGTTATAAATGTGTATATGTATAATCCATGGATATCGTATATATGCTAGAGAGAGAAATGAAAAGAACGAAAGGAATCATGAGATCTTAGATGAGGAAAAATGACCTGGTGCTAGCAAAATCGTAGAGCTTCCCGGTGCTGGAGAAGATCATGACTCCGACTTCCGCGTCGCAGAGGATCGCGAGCTCCTTCGCTTTCTTCAACAATCCATTTCTTCTCTTGGAGAAAGTTACTTGTCTGCTCGTGGAATTATCAATCCTCCTTATCACTATCTTCCCTCTCCCCATACTAATCAGAATATTCTTCGAGCTTCCAAAAAGAACACCGAAATTCTAAGTCGAAATCAAACTATTTTCGTGCCAGATTTCCGAAAGTAAATTAAAAAACAGACAAAATCTGATAAGAAAGAGAGAGAAAGAGATTTTATGAGCGAGAAAAAAGGAATCTAAAAGAAATAGCAGAGACTTTCACTTACTTTAACCGCGAGAATGGAGACAAAGCGAGGTTTCAGAGACGTCGTTTTGGTGGCGACGACTCACATCAGCCAAAACAGGAAGAAGCTATATAAGGAAAGTGTATGCGAGATTTAAAATCCGGTGGTTTCAGGTGTAGAGAACCGGTAGATGGATGACACGTGGACCATTCAGGAGTCGAGAAAATATTAAACGGTTTGTTTTGGGGGAAGGGTGAGACCCGAACCGTCCACCGTATAGATCGTTGACGCGTGGGTCTACGAATACAAAACGCACCGTAGTTCCCATTTTTAGGAATTTTCTTTTATTTTCATTATTTTTTTTAAAGAGAAAATAAAAAAAACTTGCATGGGGAAACGCGCGTAATTACCCTTTTAAGATCTGGAATAGCCACTTGTGTGCCTCGTGAGGTTTTTGATTTGAGGCTGGCATGGGCTAAGTCACAGCTCGGGGGCCGTCGTTTTCAAGAATGACGACTCGTTTATCTTTCTTTTTTAGGTAAATCAACGGTTACTGTTCTTATAAACGACCGTTAGCGTAACTCATGTAGTCATGTTAGATAAATGGGGGGCATAAATCAGGTGCCCGTAGTAAGCTGACTTCATTACAGTCAAATAATTATTTTTCTAAACTCAAATAATATTTCCATATATCAACGTATAAATTTATTAAATTGAAGGTGAAAATTAGCAAAGTACTTAGATCAACCAAACCAAAGGTGATGTTTGTAATAAATTTTGAAATCTCTGTTTAATTTAACTAATCCTATGAATTTTTAAGTGATATTGGAATAATGTAGTAGTACTCAAATTTTTACTAATTTTAATTAAATATTTTATAATTTCACTTAAATTTTTTAATAAATAAATTTTCTTAATTGAAGTAATTATGAATTTTCATATAAGTTTTCAAAAATAGTTCATTCATTTCAAAAATACACCAATCAAACTATAACTGTAATACCCTAAATTTAATTTTAATATAATTTAAGATTTAATTATAAATATAATGTCTTAATTTTTCAATTTTTAATTTTAGTTTAGAGTAAAAAATGAAGTAAAATTGATGGATGATGAAATTGAAAACAATTCTGAAAAAATGGGTAAAACTTTGGATTCTATGGGTATTTTTGAAAGAAAAATCAGAAACTAGGGGTTCAAATATAATTTAGAAAAAAATTACCACGTAGGATGCCCGGTCAGCAGTCCTGACGAACCAGGACGCATCACGTGGTAACGGACGCTGACACAGTGCCACGCAGTGATCCGTGAGTCCGTGATCGAACGGCCCAGGTCTGTTCCTGCACGCACGGACGGCCTGGATGTGCTCCCTCCCAATTACAATCGGACGGTCAGATTCAAACGCGATGGACGATCCAGATAAGATTGCGATGGACGATCCAGATTGGATCGTGATGAACGGCCTAGATTCACTCCTTATTTAATTGCGATTGGACGGTTCAGATCAAACGCGATAGATGACACAAATCAAAAGCGAACAAAAATAAATAACTCTCACTCACATCAAACCCTAACCCTAGCCGCTAGAACCCCTAGCTGGAGAAGAAGACCTGGCCGCCGGGAAGGAGCCGTCGCCACCCGCAACCGCCACCAGCCGCACCAGAACCCTTTCCGACCGCAAAAAAAATGTAAAAACTTCCCTTTTTGCTCGAAATTCAATTTTTAGCTCACCCATGGTCAAATCGAAGCAAAGAGACTAGCTAATTGGCTTAAAAACGCCAGCGAAGTCCAGCGGTGCCGACGCGGAAAATTTCACAAAACGTCTCTGATGAGACCCTTTTTTATTCCCGTTATGTGTAATTTTTTCACCATTGTGATCATCGTGTCCTTCTCTACAAGTTGACCAGAATAAAAAACCCAACCGCAACATGAGCCGGAGGAGCCGCCGCACCGGAGAGCCTCATCGCCGGTAAGTTTCGATTTTTGTGTTTTTTCAGTCAACCGATGCCCTTTAACGTATTTTATTGCAAAGATCAATGCAAAATCAGCCAAAAACAGCTGACTCGATGCAAACCGCCGTCACCAGAGCATGGCAAAGCCGCAGTGTCGAAATTTTGAAATTGGCCAATTAGGCTCTGAGACTGATTTTGGGTTTGTTTGGGATATTTGTAGGTACTATTAACATGTTTTAATTATCGAAAAAAAAAATTCAGAGAATCCGAAAATCGCCCGTAGGTCTAATCGAACAGCTTAATTTTTCGAACATCAAATCGAGTAAGGATCGCTCACCCTATTCCCTATCATAGAATTGAAGTTTAAATAAATAATAATATACTATTTTGTGCGAATTTAATAAATGTACATAATTAATTACGGATTGCTAATGGAGCCAAAACTAAAAATTATTCTCTATTGATTTTTGTTGATTTTTACAGTTTAAAGGTATTATAGTATCGGATTTATCAATTTTATGATTTGAATGTATGTATTGCTGCCTTACATTATCATCGTTTAGTTAGAAAATTGAGATATGCTTGTATTTCCTGCTGTATGTTTATTTTTTTATGTGATTATGGTTGATTTGGAAAATGGAGACTAACAGAAAATGGAAAAGTTGGGTGGGAAGATTAATAGATGAAGACGACAGTCTTACTAGATATCTTGGGAGATGGTAGACGGACTAGGTACATAGGGAACCCTACCGTGAACATTGTCTCATACCGGACGGGGCATGGAGACATGATAATTTAGCGCTCATACTGGACGGGGTATGGGGACGGTCCGCTTCACCCTCATACCAAACGGGGTATTGAGGTTTAATAATTTGGCGATTATACCGGATGGGATATGGGAACAGTCCGTAATTGATATTGTTAAAGAAAATGGTTCACTTGTGGCAGGGACATTCCTATGAACCCCCATAGATACTAGTAGGCTGGTGAAAAAGTGATAGTTATTGTTTGATTTATTGACGATGTATATAGACTTACGATATGTGCTATGTTGCTGATTTTACATGAAACTATCTGTATGATACTAATAGTCTGCATAAGTTATTTTTATGAATCCTACTACGGTAAACAAACGGTAAATAATTTTATTTATGATAAAAGAATTTATTTAAATTAAGTACTCCATTAGTGTGTTGATTTTATACCAATTTTTACATCTGTGTCAGTGATATAATATGATATCCTTACTGGGTTAGCGTAACTCATCCCTTATTTAACCATTTCATATAAAGAGAATCAGGTTCTAGAGCCCGATCCGCAGGAAGATTGCGACTAGATACTAAATTTCTTTATTTTTCATTTATTTCCTTATTCTTATGTTTCTTTTAAAAGAGTGAATTCTCTAACGCTATTTAGTATTTTGAGTTATTTGTGTAAGGAATGTAAACTCTGAACATTTATTACGCTTCCGTACTTTAATTATCTTTTATTTTCTTTGAATATTTCTGGGATCGTTACAATAACATTGACGCATTTTGAAAATCACCAATAGTTAATCAATTTAAAATCACCAATAATAAATTAGTTACAAGTTATAAATGCATTGCAAAACTTTCTAGATTTAATTCTATCAAATAAATTTTGAAAATTCATTTTTTTAGAATGTATTAGTAGGTTATTAACTTACATAAAATGAAAATTGTTATTCATTTTCTTTATAAAATATATGTAACATTAATTTTTAATTTCACATGGATTATTAAAGTAATTTTTCTTTCACTTACATAAATAATCTCGACCTTATTGTTTTTTTTTTTATTATTATTTAGTTTTTATAGATGGTTGTGAATGATAACCATTGGGCTAAATGCTAGGGTAATGATTGATTTTAGTTTATTATATTTTATTTAATTTTTTCTATTTATACGTCACTTGTAATATAACATAAATTTTATTTTTAAATATTTATAAAAAAAATTGTACATAATAGATAAGCCAATATTACTATTTTGAATATGGAATATTATCTAACAAAAAGTAGAATGGGATTAGCAAGTCAAATCACAGCCATAGGCATTTCACTTGTAAAAAAGCCATGATTAATTATTATCTCTCATGATTATTTTCGTTTTTAATCATCCTAATGCTACGTGAATTATGATGTTTCGTTATTCCACCATAAAGCCATCCCCACAACTGGAAATAAGACTTTTTGCCACAATGTGTTTCTAAGTTTATTTGTTACCAACACAAATCAAGAAGCATAACAAGAGCTCTCGCTGTGATTAAATTTTATTTTAAAAAATATTTTTGACATGTATTACTGTAATTAAATTTATAATTCAATGTATTGAGATTTATGTTAAGTTTAATTTAAAATATGATATGATGTATAAAATATTAGAAATATAATAAAGAAATTATAAAATTTTGAATTAAAAGAAAATATATAATATAAAGTTAATTCATGTATAACTTGAACTAACTAATTGTTTATTGAATTAGTGAAAATACAAATTTATTATTTTATTATTAAAGACATTATAAATTAATTTAATTATACATAAAAATGTAAATCATATATATTTTTTCATGAAGTAATTAAAATATTAAGATTAAACAAAAATATAATAAGTTTGAGAAAGAAAAGGTTAACGTATTTTATATGTTTATGATATATATATATATATATATATACAGGACATGGATGGAATTTTGATGAAAGAGTGACGTACATGTACGTACATATATGTGTGTGTATGTATATGTATATATATATATATATGCTAATGGCGATTAAGTAACCGATTGTGCGACAGCACGTGTCAAAACAAGAGAGGACGAGTGTAAAGTGAAGTCTGGCCCAAAAAGATGTGTATTTCCTTTTTTAGTTTTTAAGGTTTCCAAATCAGGAAATTGGAGAACGTGCCCGTTGAAATATCTAAAAAAAAATTTCTAAGCTGATATTATTATTGTCCCCTTTCAAAGCTCTGATACTTTTTCTTTTCGATATATATATATATATATATATATTTTTTTTTTTTTGTCAGCAAGAACTGTGAGGCACCACGTTCTTGTGTCTCTCTTCCTCACTTCTGACAGAGGCAAGTCCAAGACCGACACTATTTTGGGTTGGTAATATTATGGTACTTTAGAGGGAAGTTTATT